TTTAGCCCCTACCGTAATCCTACCGTAACTCCACCGGATGATACTACCGCGCGAAATAAACATCATAGTCGTGTTCAGCATGCTAAATAACCCCCTTGAACAAAGTTTCGGGCAAATCCGTAATTTTGACCCCATTCCTTACCGTAACCCCACCGCAACTCTACCGGATGGCAATACCGCGCAAAATCAACATCATGCTCGTGTTCAGCGTGCCAAATAACCATCAAAGTTTTAGCGAATTTCAGGGTTTTCATTTTTTGGGTCAACTAATGTGGAAAAGTACCCATAGGTTCTAGTATACTTACTTCGTATTTGTCGATCTTCTTACTTTCTAGCATGCGAAACAATCTATCCACGAACTCTTGAGGATCGTACAACGATTGTATAGCTAATAGATTACACTCCTTGCTCCTGCCTTCTAAACTGACGAAAATAGTTATTACATCAAAAAATTACAGAAAAGCAGTACCCTTTTTTGCTTTCTTCTTCTTGTTTATAGCCTTCTTAGATCTTTCAAGATCTTTCGCTCGCTTCCTGGTTTTCTTCGCATGGCGGAAGGCAGTCATTACTTCTTTGATGGTTTTTCTCTCCTCTTCACTCTCGCTGTCATCATCACTCATATCGCTTTCACCCTCTTCATCTTTTTTGGAACCCAAGAAAAACTTCATGGCTGTAACCTGAAAAATGTAAAATGCTCTAAGTCAACTATAATCTGTCACAGCGAAACAATCACGAGTACTAGAAGACTTAGCAAATCATACAAAAAAAGGCAAAATTTAGTGACGGTACCTACCTGGATTTTTGGAAGCTTATGGAAACAAGTCTCGGCAATCACATTAGCACACTTAGCGTCCCGCCAATATTTTTTACGGAAGGCATCGATGCAGATCAACTGTGCTGCTCGAGCAACAATCGCACGAGAATCCTGAGCCGATATACTTTACAAATGTCTGCCAGAGAAAAAAGAAAGAGTTGTAGGACGCACCTTTATCTTTGCAAAGCAAAAGTTCTGCACTTTCCCTAGTACTTTCATATTTTTCTTTTGGGTGTAGAATCTTCTCAGAAGTGACGAGATAGATGCGAGGACAAATTTTCTGGAAATATCTTTTCTTTCTGACATTGGCCAAATCACATAATTTATGATACTGACCTCAGCTGCTTGTCTTCAATCTTGACTAGCTCAAAGAAAATTTC